GATCAGAGGGCCAACTTTGTGGGTTCTGGGAATTGAACTCAGCTTCATCAGGCTTGACAGCAAGCACCTTTATCTGCTCAGCCATCCTACTGGCCCCTCATGGGCTTTTTCTCAAAACAAGGTCAGAGCTTTAGAGGTTTGGCAAGCAGACTGGTGGCTTGTATGTGTTTTTTACTTATTTTTAATTAACTTTAGCTAAAGCATCTGTTTGGACAATGCTTACTTTAAATGCTGTCTTTGTCAGCGTGGCTATATCCCCATGAAATAGCTCTGTCCTTCATACCAGGGCACATAAATAGATGCGGCTCCTTTTTGACAGAAGGGAAAGACGAAGGACCTTGCTGGGGATCGCTCCTTCCTGCCAGACTAAGCCACGCCATCAGTGGTCAGCCCACATGGGCTAATTTAATCTACAAGTCTGAACGTGATAACCTATGTCCGTAGGCCAGAGGAGGGCTATTCCCAGTGGCCTGAGGCCAGTCTCAGCTACTTGAATGTGGATGACTGGCAGATTTTTCTGTCTCCATCCATGGCCCGGCTGTCTTCAGGGTTTCAATTACACTTGTTCTTTGGCCATTTCACAAACATTTATAGAGCATCCTGATTGCTATAACTGCCCACCTTCTCCTATCCCCCTCCCCCAATCTGTCATCTTCCCTACAGGCCCCCCCCCATCATATTTACATGGATTTGTTTTGTGCTTCTTCCCCCACCGAGTTCACCAAAGAGCATGGGTTTGGAACTGCCCTTGGGCATCTGGTGGGCTCACCTATTGGTACCCAATTAAAGACAATGACTTCTCACCCAGAATTCCCCAGTAGGCCCTCACTCGGCGGGGAGTGATATGTAACCCTTCCCCCATCACACAATAACAGGCGCACAATAATAAGTTAGCCCAGGGCCTAAGACCTCCTCAGCCATGGATTTGTGACTGAGTTTACAGGACCAGGCACTGATCCTCTCCTGTGCCTCAGATCCACAGACAGCACTTGGACACCCATGTACACGGTCATGCCAACAGTGCATCTGTGGGTATATCTTGCTTTGCAGGTTGGCACTGTAGTTCATAGGGGTCACAGGTGCTTAAGGTTGTTTGTGGTTTTCTCCCCTATCAGTCTGTACAGTACCCCTTCAGGGTCCAAGAAAGCTAGCCAGTAGGGAGGAAGCTTCCAGATCTGTCTGAAATCGATTTCTCACTTCTTGTGATGAGGGTGTATGGCGACGGAAGTTCTCAGCAACAGGGACTTCCCAACTGATCCCTGTTGGGGTGACGATGGCATAGATTGTTTTGCTGGCACTGGGGACTTTGCTGACCAACAGGTCCTGCGGAGGATCCTACTGGGGAGTTTTGGCGTGGAGATTTTTATAATTGCCTTCTTGCCCCTCCAGCTCCATCCATAACCCTTCTACTGCATCTCCTTGCTGACTCCATGTTCTCTTTTAAAATAACCCACTCGGTCCAATTACCGGGAATCCAACTTAGGTTTGCTACAAGAACAATACATGGTCTTACACACCAACCATCTCCCCAGCCTTCATTATTTTAAAAGCTCTCGTTGTCTACCCATCATGCATTTCATGTCAAGTTCATATCGAGCTGCTTATAGAACACTTCTGAGTCAAGTTTTTGTAGCAACACATCTATCACTGCTCCTGATGTAACTGAGAACGGAGTCTTGCAGTTGCTTTCTACCGCTGTGCGTGGAATTGGGGATGCCTACAGTTTGGCTCCCTAGCAAGACCAAAACAAACACGAAACCCAACAACTCACTCAAAAGTATGGCAGAATGGTAAGCCTTGCTTTCCCAGCACCTGAGATTGGGACTTCAAAGACAAAAGACCCAGCGTCGGTTACAATCATAAAGACAAATGGGTTCTAGCAGGGGTGTCTGACCTTCTGAAATGTGACACTGTCATTCACAAAGTTCACACCTGAGATCTGCACAACTGAAAAACTAACTATGTAAAGCAAAAACAAAACCAAGACCCACAATGTTTTGTAATGTTGAGTAAGCTGGTGGTTTTGTTGGGCTGTATGCACGGAGTCCTTCACTGTAGGTAGGCTGTGAGTTGGACCTACATGTTAGTAGACTGACAAAGTTCCTCCCTAAGCTCTGTCCCTGTGGTTTTAGTGACTGACCCTTTCCAGCTCATCAGCCATGATTAAGAGACAGAAGGCTGTTCAAGAGGTCCAGAACACTCCCAATAAACAAAACGTAGCAGGAATCCATTGCACATACGGTAAGCCTTAGAATCTAAATAGGTAATGGCATGTGCCTGTTTTTTAATTTACTGTACATCTCCCAGATTCCTCCTTACAAATTAGGAATTCATTTCCCCAACTACTAGGAATATTGCTAGTGGGCTGTTGAGACTCAGTCAACCTCTCCCTGGGAACTGCTCTTGAGAACTCCCACTAAAGGCGCTGCCTTTCCCAAGAGCAATCCAAGGTCAAGGGCTCCAGACCAAAGCCTGGGGCTTCCCGCCTGGATATGAGGCAACTCCAGAGGTTCTCCCAGCCCCAGGCCCCACACAGCGTCAGCCTCTCCCTTTGCCCAACCTTTGTTTATTCTCTGGAAGAGTAGACAGGCAGCATTTCCTTGAATGACTTGAACGATCTCCCAAGATCACAAAACAAGGAAGCAGAGGGGCCTGTGTTCTCACCCAGACACACGTGACTGGTCAGTCAGTCCTTGCTTCTCTCTGTGTCATTAAGCCCTTGACCCTGTCATAGGCGGTCCCTCCTTATTTGCCCATCTTTGCTAGTCACTATCGCCATTGCTTATTCTGGTCCTACCAACCCAGGCCAGCCCCGTAGAACCCTGTGCTTTCCAAACACAGGCGTCCCTGCGGGCCCTTGAAAAACTCCTAGACTTGGCTAGACTCATGAAAAGTGCCCCCCTTCACTTCCAAGGCTGTGTCTTTGAAGCTCTCCCCTACGAGTAAGTGAAGGTCCCCATCCTCCAGGCCCCTACAGTGAGCTCTACATCTCTTTAGCTTGGGAATGCTTAATTATTCTAATGAGTTCCTTGCAAGCAGGGGCACGTCTTTTAACTCAGCCTCGCCAGCCTGGAAGCTTACAGATGTTTTGTTCGGTGGATGAATAAATGAGGACTGCTCATGGCTGAATCCTTGCCAAAGCCCCTAAGTCAGGCAAGTGTCTTGGTAACATTCACATGCGGATTCATTACGACCAGCACAGCAGCCTGACACACATCTGGATGCCACTGCAGATGCTTAGGGATCCCACAAAAGTGTACGTGGTCTCCACAGACGATGCTAATGGAGTGGTAAGAAGGTTCCATGACTTCCCTAGCTCAGTGGAAAATAATTTTCAAGCTCTCTTATTTAAGGTATTTCTCTACCTAGTCTGAGATCCAACCCAAAAAGTCCTTTGTTGGAAACATTTTCTTTTCTATTTGACATGGCCCACAATGACTTGGATCTTGCTAAATTTCCATTTCTAGGTCAGAAATCAAACCTTATGTGGTTACTACATCGAGCACAGCCTGCCTGCCTGCCTGGCTGGCTGGCTCTGTACTCTTGTTATAAGAGGCCCCTTGGAAACACAATGTATCGTGAATGGTCAGGGTCTACCTCCTTCTCTGAGGCCAACACAGTAGGTCTGGATATAAATCTAGGCACAGAACACGATTAACACCAAACTGAGGAGGTCCGTGGAGAGACCCTGCTCTCAACCAACATAGAAACTGAAAGCTGGGCAAGATGCTGTGTGTGTCTTTTGCACGGGAAATGCTCCAATTTTGTTATTGTTCTCAACAAAAATGTCCAAACAACATACATGTTTGCTAAGAGCTGACTGAAGCTAATGATGGCACAAAGGCTTAAAAGCCCAGTGTCCACCCCACCCCCAGCCTTGTTTGTCTTCTGTAAATGGAGTCAGGAAGGAGGAAGCTTCTTCAACACATTAGAAACATTAGAAACTCAATTTTCTGGACCCTGTAGAATCCCGCCCTCCCCCCCCCCATAGTCTCTGCAGTCAGGACTGAGAAGACAATGTGGTAATATTTTCCTGGGAGGGCAGCACCTGCTTTACAAGTCTGGTCATGTGTGAGCTAGAAAGCAGAACCCGAGGTCCCGTTCTTTAAGTGTGTCTCCTTCCTAAGTGTGGAGGTCAGTTCTCAGGACAAACAGAAAACTTGTAGGTACTTGAAAACACAGAAATAAGTGTTAAGGTGGACGTTCTACCCAAGCCCCCTCCCCTAAGTCCCTCCAAACCTTGCTACATCTCAGGAAGTCTACCAAACACTGACCCCCCCACCCAAGGTGCTCAAGACCACTCCCACAGGGTATTTAAACTGCACCCCAGAGAACAGGCTCCTGGTTTCCCTCTCTTTCCCTTCTCTCGGGGGTCTGGAAGGCCATCCCGCAGCTCTGTGTCCATTAAACCTGGGCTTTTTCTAATTCGGTTTGATTTGGTCTGATTTGGACTGCTGCATCAGAGGACAGGCTTATCGGGGTGTAGAAACTTTCCAATTAAGATTTTTATTATTTTAATTAAGTGTGTGTGTGTGTGTGTGTGTGTGTGTGTCTGTCTGTCTGTATATGAATGCTTGTGCCCAGGGAGGGCAGAGGCATGAGATCTCCTTGGATCTGGAGTTGTGAGCTGCCTGACCTGGGTACCGGGAACCTAACTCACATCCTCTGCATGAACTCTTCTAAACTGCTGAGCCATCTCTCCATCGTGCTGCAGGTACCCACACTTTTGTTCATGTTGCTCAGATCAAATACTCATTTACTGAATATAAATAAGTATATCCAGTATATAATGCTGAACGTACTGTGCACACGCACACACGTGAACATATGTCATACACACGTACCAACACATACAGTATAAACACACATGCTAGGTTTAACAGTCTAATCTGTGTCTTTAGAGTGTTCACTGCCTTTCATGCCCATCGGGCACCTTCTCGGCGGCTGTAGGGGTGGTGGTTATTAGGAAGCACTCGGTGGCAGGGAGGTATGGAGTCTACCTTTTTAAACATCCGGGTGGAATCCTCGCTGATTTGCATGAACCTCATAATGACATTGTTCAGGTAGATGTCGCTCAGGGTGGCGTGGTCTTTGCTTTCTCTCCTCACTTGGTTGAGGAGTAAGTACCAGCAGTTCACAGGAGACAACAGGTTCTGGTCCTTCCTGAAGGTAAAGGAGGACAGAGGACAGAATTACGGTCATTTCAAAGGGCCCAGATCAGCCAGCAAAGGTCACCCGTGCAGGAGGAAGGGCCACAGTGGACAGGTACCCCTGCTGTGCTTCCCGCTTCGAGCATTTCTTAGATGGGGGCATGCTGTAGCCTGCAGGAGTCCTGCAACTAACCAGGCCTGGAAAGACACCTTGGATCAAAACCCCTGATACAGCACTTTGGCTGTACCTCCCCCCATTCAGCGCCCCACTAGGGGAAGAATTCTTCTTCCGTGAGAATCGATTGGCTACTGTCTCACACAGGCTGGTCTGCTCCTGCTCACGAAGTCTCATTTGAGTGCTGGTCCTGCTGCTGGGAAAGACATTTGGTTGGGCATGCTTTTCACGGAGCATGGCTATTTATTAATCCCTGGATGTCTAACCTCCAGCCTCCAAGAAGCATTCCCGGGGAATCAGAACTTTATAACATTGTCTCAAGGCTCATGAGCTGAAGGAACCTGGACGCTTGCTGGCTCGTGACACGTCACGTGTCCTGCTGAAATCTACGGAGCCAGCTCAGATCCATAAACACTCCTGGTTTATTTTAGATGAAACTAAATGAACTGCAAAGCACACATAATTAGACACATATACACATACTCAAAGAAAAAATTCCATCCCAACACAGTGAACAACCAAAATGTCACCGCTTTTAGAAACTTAGATGCTGTCCCCTCCTTTGCCACCTGCGGCAGGAGAGGGAGCTGACCCTCCCTGACAGGAGCTGCAGCATTCGGGAAAGTGGGCTCTGCACCTCGACCGGGCCGCCCAGCATCTGACGGTATTGACAGGGGTCCAGGTAAACTGCCCTGAGAACATGACTCAGGGAGATATGGCCCACACCCTCATCTGCCACATGGTGGTGGGGGTGGGAAGAGATGTCCTCCAACCTGTGGCAGGGGGAAAGCTGGCCCTGAGGTCATTCAGAGTGGGAGGGATGTCCCTGTCCCTCATGAGCTGCAGCACTCAGGAGAGTGGCCCCTGGACCTTGCCCTGACGGTCCAGGTGTAGGAGAGCAGGCCCTGAGGGCACAGAAGCTGGAGAACGGGGCCCTGCCATTTGCTCATTGCTGCAAGGGGTAAACTCAGGGTAAAACTGCAGAGCTCACCCTGGTGGTGAGGGGGTAGAGCTGGTGGACTGACGGACCCTGCAACTACCCAGGCCCAGAAGCAGGGTATGAGTCAGCCCACGCCAACATCCACCCCATCTGTGATCTGCTGGAGCATATGCAGGGGCCAGTCCTGCAGACCCAAAGCTACAGGACCTCCACAACACAGGGCCACAGCAGGATAAGCAAGGAGTCCCAGTGAGGGCCCAGCATTGATAGTGAGGGGAAACTAGCCCAATGATTCTTTGCAGCCAGACGGATGACAGGCTATACTGTGCAACTCATGGTGCCACACTACAGCTCCCATGACACGGTTTTGTCTTTCTTTCCCCCGTCTTTTTCTCTTAAATGTTACTTATGGGGGGGGGGTGTGTGGCAAGGGCAGAGGGCGGATATGGAGGGATGGGGAAATGAATAGGATTGATGCTCGATGTGGAAGACACAAAGGAGAAATACAACTACAAAATCACAACTACAAAAACTAACCACGAAATGGCCAAATGCAAGTGTTTCTCCCAACTCACGGCACAGAAGGGCCGTGTCATCAGATGTGGGTTCTATTGGTTTTTCTCTTTAAGTTGTGTGTGTGTGTGTGTGTGTTGTGTGTGTGTGAATAGGAAGGGGTAGCGTTGGGTAAGAGGGGAGGGGGGGGGACATGTGCCATGGCACAGATGTAGAGGACCAAGCCAAGCTCTGACATGCACCCTTGCTTTCCAAAGTGTGCGCCAGGCTACTGGCCTTTGAACGTCTAAGGATTCCCTTGTGTTCTCACGGGAGTGCGGGGTGACAGACACATGTCTGCTGACATGTCTGAATTCTACACAGGTTCTGGGGTCAGAACACAGGCCATAAGGCTTGCACGGCAGGCACTCTCCTCACTGAGCCATCTTTCCAGCAAAGACGTAATACTATTCGTGAACATTGGTGACTGAACATTAAGCCATGGGAAAGGAAGAAAGTCACATCTTCCTACCACTTAGGCTTTTCAGATTCCACATTTAGAATCGCATTGAATCCAGGAAGCTGAGCACAAGGATCAAGAGTTTAAGGCCAGGCTGGGCTACAAAACGGTATAGCATGTATCTCACTGCATAGCAAGTCCAAGGGTGCCTTATAAGGAGACCCTGTCTTAGAAACAAAGAAAACACCCACTGTCCCCAAACACACTGCATTACGGTCTCTGTCTAAAAGAAAGCAAGGACAGAAGCAGAAATGGGCCCAGGAAGAAATCCCTACGCACACTGGGATTCCAGCTCTGGCCTGGGATGTCCTTTCTCTTAGAAACGCGCAGAAGGAACAGTGAGTCCATGGCAGGCGAGGCTGGCCTTCCTCATGACATCCTCTGCCGAGTCAGCCCCAGAGGCAAGGGCCACTTTGTTCATCTGAGCTGCCCTCATCCTTAAATTCCCTGAGGCTATTTCATACATTTTTGTGTCCTCCGTACACACCCAGATGGAAGCATGAACTAGAAGTTCATCGACTGAGTAAGCAAACACATTAGTATCATCACCTTGTTGTTAGTGTCAATCACAACATCGATAATAATATAGTAATAACAGCAGCTGTCATTTTACTGGGTGAGAAGCAATAGGCAGGTCAAGACTGGGGACTTCAAGCCAGGTTTGCGGAGGCATAGGCGTGCAACCCTGTCAGCTTGGAAGGCCGAGGCAGGAGGATGACAAATTTGAGGCCAGCCTGGACAACTCAGGGAGACCCTGCCTCAGTTTGCATAAATATTAATGAAAGACTGGGGGCTCCCACTCTAGCCTCTCACCTGGGCCCCCATGCCTTATCTATCTGGGTGGCGGTGGGTAACTGTTAACCTCTCTGTACTTCGGTTCCTTTGCATAATGGGTAAAATAACAGACTGGGTCTCATGAGGTTGCAAAGGCAATGTCTTGGGCGGCTTACTGTCTGTTTACATGCTTGCCCTCACACCTGGGGCATATTAAGTGCTGCATATAGAACGATAGCTATTTTTGTCTAAGAGGCTGCTCTGACTGAGACCTGACATCAACCATACTTGACTCCTTACCACAGCCACTTGCTGTGTCCTGACTGTCAGCCAGAGAACTAAGGCTTACCAAGGATTTGATAAGGACCACAGTGAGACAGACCAGCCTGAGGCTGTGGGGGGGGGGGGGCTGGTGGGGAGCCTGGCTCTTGGCTTCTGCAGTAGCAACTTGCGGCTAAGGACGGGGCTCACAAAGATAGCGACCACCAAGTGAGTAAAGCCAGGCTCCAAGGTTTAGCTTCAACGGGTGAGCGCATGCGTGTGCTAAAGACTCGTCTGTCTGAGAACTAAGACAAGGAATGCAGCACACGCATCCCCCAGCCAGCCACCGGTCACAGCTAGGAGGACACTTCCCTGTCTGTCAAGGCCACTTACAATCATGAGCTCTCACACCTCACGTTAGAGAAAGCAAAGCGCCGAGAAGGTAGGTAGTAACACACAGTAGTGGTCGTTAATGGAGCCATGTTCTAACCTTTGGACCCCTTCCCTCCCCAGCTCCACATTCAGTGATAGGCAACTCTCAAGTCAAAGGCAGGGCGAAGCTGCCTGTACAAATATTAATTGCATTTATGCGTTTGGTGGCGCACACGCCGGTGAGGCGCAGAGAACAGCTTTCACTAGTTTCTTCCCTTCCGCCTGGGAGTCGCGGCAATTGAGCTCCGCTCATCAGGCTTGACCCCATCTGCTGTAAAGCCATCTTCACAAACCAGCAACCCCTCCTTTTAATCCGGGCTCCAAGGTCGTGCAAGGGTATGAAACTCAAGTTCAAGGTCACTGAGAAGAGGCCGGGTTCTCAGCAGCACCCCCAGGCCCAAAGGGGCGGGCTGGGCCGCCTCTTTGCTGCCCTTGTGTGGGAGGGTGGCATGTCTTTGATTTCCTCTGTCACTGGGGTGGGTTACCCTCTGGGACTGGGGGACAACGAGGGGGGGCCGACAGTGGAAACTTTCTCTTCCAAGTCTGTATCTTGTGTAGACCTGTCACCAGCGCTTCTTCTGCAGGGTTGAGGGCTGGGTTCCTTCACAAACAACCTAGACCTTCACAACCCTCCCTTCCTGCCTCCCTCCCTTCCTCTTCCTTCCTTCCTTCCTTCCTTTTTCTCTTCCTCCCTTCCCCCCTCCCTTCCCCCCTCCTTTCTGTCCTTCCTTTTCTTTTTCTTTTTGACCATGGAAACTTCCCTTGCCTTCCCATGACTCCAGGTACACACTTAGAAGGTCATTGATTATATTCTAACCATCATGTCAGGGAGATCTATGGCACAGGTGTTTACCAGATTCCCTAGCCAACCATTCTTTCTGAAACAAAAGCCTAGGATGCTTTTCCGCTGTCTCCCCAACTGGGCGCTTCCCTCTCCCTCCAGGTGGCTAGAACGTAAGGCCTCCTCTCCCTCCAGGTGGCTAGAACATAAGGCCTCATGCCAGGAGAGACCTTTGGTGTTCTTCCTTCTCTAATATCCCCCTGTAGTCCACAACCCTACCTGTCACTTAAATGCAACTTAAAACACTCCAAAGATTCCTATGTCTGCAGGACACAGCCCACACAGATGTGCAAGAAGCTGTGCTGTGCTGTGCTCCAATTAATGCCCGTGGCCACCCTGCCGTCCAGCACGGCATACTCCCAAAGGACTACTACTTTGCAAACCTGGCCTAGAGTCCTTCCCTTCCTGCCCTTCACCTATGAAGCTCCCTTCTCCAGTAACCCCTTCCTGGTCAGCCCGTCCTTATGTGTCCACTCACATACCAGTCTGCTTGGGGCCTGGCAGATAGATGGCTCAGGTGGTGGCGTTTGTAAGCTTGTAAGCTTCAGGATGTGCGTTTGAGCCACAGATCCCAACCCCAACACTGAGTTTGCAGAGACAGGCAGGTAAACAGTGTGTTAACACCCAAGAAATGATACCCTAGGTTGTCCTCTGGCCTCTACAGCAGGTACACACTAAAGTGTGTATACCACTCGACACACATGCATCGCCATACAGGCATTTGTGAGTTTGCACACACACACATACATGTACACTCACACATGCACACTCACACATGCACACTCACACATGCACACTCATACATACACACACATATACATACACAGACAGACAGACACAGACACACACACACACACACACACACACACACACACACACACACTTCATCACTCTTCCAAGACCTTCCTTTCCAGGATCATTACAGAACATGCCTCAGCCCTGTCTTTCAACAGAACCCTGTGCTTGTTCTGCTGGTACACTTATGTTACAATTACCAACCTGTCTCTCTGACTCTGGGTTTTAAATTATGAAGTGAATTTCATGACCAGAATAACATGTATGTTTTTTTTTTTAATTACTACAAACACGTTGGGTGGAGGTGGGACATGCTCCCCATGAACATTAAACCCCAACAAAAGTTATTGCTAATTTTCATATAAAAGTCACTAGAGGGTGGTGCAGGCTATAATCCTGGCACTTGGCAGGCAGACTGTCACAGGTTCTAGGCTAGCCTGGGCTGCAGAGTGAGACTTGGTCTGAAGAAACGGAAAAGAACAAGCAACGACTCGCTACAGAAATCTTGAGGCCTTTGCTCACAGCGGCTCTTTAAACCCACCCTTTCAAATGTCTACCTACGGCTGATAGCGGCTTTTCTGTTGCTAGGAGTTTTATAAACACCGATTCAAAATATAAAGTTATGTCTATGCAGGGTAAGTGGGGCAGGAGAAAGGTTGTTAGACTTACAGGGACATGAATGCCAGTAATTTCAAAGGCGATGTCCAGCATTGTGGAGGTTCACCTTGGAAAAGAGACTCTCTGAATCAAGTCTCTCTCTGTCCATCTGTCCCTCCCTCTCTCCCTTCCTGTCTCCTTTCCCTCCCCCCCTGACCCACCCCTACCCACAGGTATTGAACCTATGGCTCAAGTCTCTCTCTCTCTCTCTCTCTCCCCACCCCAGGTATTGAACCTATGACCTCATGCTCACCAGGCAATCCCTCAGTCCCCAGAGCAACACCCACAGCTGGAGCCAGCTTCTTACTTGAACTGCTGGTGGTCCTTAGTACTTCTTGTTTTGGCCATGAACCTTTCCGCCAACTTCTCCAGGTTGCGGGAATATTCCGTCTCAATTTCGGCTTTTTTCCGGAAGAAGTCTTGCAGGTCCTGCAGCAGCTGGACTCGCATCTCCGTCTGCTGCTCGAGGCATTTTTGCTGCTCAACCAGTTGAGCTCGGATTTCTAAGGACAAGACAAGAAGGCACCTGATGACGTCATGAAAATGACAGAGGCAAGCTGACAGGCAAGGCATGAGTCCGTCTGATGACATCATGAAAGTGACCAAAGCGAGCCCACAGGCAAGGCATATCACACCGGTGGCCCTGCTTATGGCCTCTGCTTGAGTCGTGTATTATAATTATGCGTGTGGCATGAAGATGGAAACATGCAGAGTGGATGTGGGCACCAGAAGACAATCTGTAGGAATTGTCTCCACCTCTCTGCCATGTGTATGTCTCAGAGTCATTAGTTCGGTGGCAAGCCCCTATACCCAATGAGCCATCTCATAATTAAAAAAGAGATGAGATCCTGGGGAAAATGTAGCCAATTTGAATAGAAATACATGTCACATTTGTAATGCCACAAACACACATTGAGTCACGAGAGAGGGAAATCACAGCCTTTCAGATACTCCCAAACGCTGGGGTGCTGTTGGCACCTGAGTGTATCAAGCTTTTCAGTGCTGTTTTACCTTAACTATCCCTTTTGAGCTTGAGCATAAAAGAAATGGGTGTCATTTTCCAGACATCGGAGCTGACACATTTGTCAGCTGGCACACATAGAGACTGACATCTGGCAATTTTTATTTAGGGCATACATTCCTTATTTGTAAAACTCTTAGCCTTCGGGGTTCATAGGAATGCCGGACCTAAAAATAATTTCTTTCTATATCCAAATAATCCATTCATAACAGAGCAACCCTCAGACTCCAACTTATCATATAACACCAAGGCTGTTATCCCCGTCTTCGCCTTGGACACATTGTTGAAACCAACATCTTTACTGACACACAATCCTTTTACCATTTCCACTATGTTAAGGACTCGAAGAATGTGCACCTAGGGATTCAGGAAATGCAAAAGGCAATGCAGCAGATGCAAAATTAGCTGCAAGCGGCCACTGCAGAGAAATCTTTGCTCTGGCAAGCAGGACACACTACGCACACACCTCTGACCGGCTTTGATCCTATGACTTCCAAAGACAAGAATAGTATTCCCGGTGGAGGACCTCTGTGTCCCTCCATGCCCAGTGTCCACACCTACACCCTGAAAGAGGGCAGCAACTAATTCAGTGCAGAGAGGAATCCTGTCCCAAGAGCATGCTCTTCATTCCTTTGCAGGGTCCCTTCTAGACAGAGCTGGTAGTGGATATCCAGGGTTTCGCAGGGATTTGATGCTGCTAGTTAGCTCAGCAGTAGCCTTGTGGTTACAGTGTGAATGTAGAAAAGGCACGTGGGGAAATCTGCTTACTTTACTAATGCGGAGTTACAACATTTATGCCTTCACTGTTTCTGTTAGTGTTGCCTTCCCAGGTGGTAAGAGGGACTTCCCCGGAGCCCAGTCTCAGCTCTGTGAGTCTGACTAATGGAATCCTTCCTGCCATCTTTCCACCCATCCAACAGTTCCGAGCAATTGTCCTATTCCCTAGTGACACTTTGGCAGAGGGGCTCAAAGAGCTCTGCCCTGGGGTCTGCTATGGTCCAGTGTGGCTCGGCAAAGGCAGGGAGGCACACCTCATGTTCCCTCTGGGTTGAGGGGATGCTCCTCCTAACCTCTCAGGAGTATGGTAGTTGCTGGAGAGAATGCATCACCAACAGGCTTCTAACCACAAGGAAGGACATCTGCTTCCCAGTCAATCAAAGAAAGCGGTTTCCAATAGAGTGTTACAATCAGCTTGGCTGCCAAAAGTTTTCTCCTAAAAATATGGAGAGCTATTTTTGTTTCATGAAGAATAAGAAAGAAAATCAAGGATGGGGGATATTCTTCATTCAGGAATTCCAGTAAATCTTTTGAGCTGAAGTGATTTTTAGCAAATCCCGTTGTGCAAAGAGAAAATGAATCAATCATATGAGGTCCTTCCCACCCACAGCTTCCTCTCACCTTGGTATCCAACAGGAGATAAACGCGGCTCTGCTATAGATCTTATCACAGTTACTCAGCAAATGCACGGGCTTCCTTCAACTGGGCATAAATAATTAAAACTCCTAGAAAACCCAGGGGCCTTTAGTTCTGCACCAAGAATTGCAAGTCCTCCCCTAACCCCAGATTCCTGGGCAGTCCATTAGGGCCCCTCCCAGCAGCTCTCCTGGGCAAGTCTTGATGGGGCTTTTTACTTCCAGATTCAAGGTTCATTTTAATTTAGCCGAGCACATCATTGCTGAGCCTGCATCTTACGTTAGGCAGAGTCCCAGGCTCTGGGGACCCAGGTTTGCTGTGGAACAATCCTTTCATACACTATGAATATGTATTCCTCTCATTGGCTAATCAAAGCTGACTGGCCAATAGCCAAGCACAAAGTATGGGGGGGGGGGTGATCAAACTGAGGATACAGGAGAAAGGAGAGAGAGTCTAAAGTAGACATGGAGAAACAAGATGAACATGCTAACACAGGTACCGCCACGTGGCAGAGCATAAATAAGGACTAAGGGTTAATTTAAAATGCAGGAGCTAGTTAGTAATAACCCTGAGCTATTGGCCAAGCATTTACAAATTAATGTAAGCCTCTGTGTGGTAATTTCAAAGTGGCTCCAGGACAGGAAAACTCCACCTACACAGCTATGTGCTTAGCTTCTTCTAGATTGACACAGAAACCTTAGACACCCAACAGCAGTTTATAACAAAGAGAAGATGCAGAAGGAGGAGTATGAACTATAAAAGGGTAGGAAGACATGCTGACCCAAATAACAGAGATTACAAGATGCACAGCGATACCCAGCACAAAGTAAAACAGCGCCCCTTGTGGTGGGAGGCATGCTTGGAAATCATACGTGGGATAGGGAATTTGTATAAAGAACCCTTCTAACTCAACCGTAAAACAAAAAAATACAGCTTAAACCGTGGGTGAAGGATCTTAGTCAGTGTTCCACACAAGATGATGAAAACGTGGGTCAACGGATTACTAAAAGTTGCTGAATATCATCAGCTGCCGGGAGACGGAAAATTAGGAGCACCCTGACACCCAAGTATGGGATTCTAACAGCAACAATCGTAAAATTTCCTGCCACACTGGAGAATATCCTGGCACTTTCTCAAAAGCTAAACAGAGTCACCATGTCTACTTCTGGATACACAAAATTAGAAATGAAAATACACTTCTGTACAAAACCACGTGCATGAGTGTGAATGGCAGTATCGTCAGTAAAGGTGAAGATAAACTAACTCTGCAACAGAATACTGTCTGACAATAAAAATGAATGGGGACCTGGCTCACATTACGGTGGACCTTCAAAACATAAGCTCACATCCATCGGCTGGCAGAGTGCTTGCCTATCCTTTAGATGCCCTGGGTCTGGCTTCCCGCACCACATACACTGAGAGTTGTGGCGCACATCCCTCATCCCAGCTCTTGGGAAGCGGAGTCTAGATCATCCTTGGCTGCACAGCAAGTTTGAAGCCAGCCTGGATTATGCATGTGAGACCCTGTCTCCAACAGAGAAACAAGATCAGAAAGTTTACTGTCCGTGCTATTCTCCTGAGACTGCACAATCCATAGTTCGATTCATGTCAACTATCCAGGACAGACTCGTTCACAGAGACGGAAGCTGGGTGAGTTTTGCTTGGGGTCTGGAAGACTGGGAGGGTCTGGGGGGAGTGGCTGCTGTTGGGGGATAATGGAAAGGCCCCACCACCCGGCATGATTCATCAGATAGTTGTGTAACTCTGAACAGCATTCACATCTCACATCTCAAAACCAGAGGTGCCATTTTTTAAAAGACAGACGCGTCACAGTCCTGAGGATTTCAGTTGTGGTGCCTTTTAAACGACCGTGACAACAGTGAAGACCTCGCTGCCACCCTTTCACACTTTCTTGTTCTAACGTCTTGTCAAATTAGACGGGATTGAAAATGACGTCTGCATAGAGTGACCTTTCCTCAGGACCTCCGTTTTTGTCAGTTTATCCAAAGCCAGTCAGTGAATGGACTTACCAGACAGCATTTGAATGTTTGTTATCATTTCCAGTGGGATATGAGCGCTCTACCTAACCAAGTAACAGGAATGACTTATGTACCAGGACTCCCACACTATTGCAAAACACAGCAGAGAAATGTAAAAGGGCGGTATGGCCGCACAGGTTCGGCTGGTTAATATTTAAAAACATAGGCCAGCACCTATTAAATAACCATAATGGCTGTTTTAATACAATCTCACCTCTTGTTATTTTAAAGATTTTTAATTATGTCTCCTCTGTGTGTGTGTGTGTGTGTGTGTTGGGGGTGTTTTGGCTGTTTGTATGTCTGTCTCTCTCTTCCCCTCTCTCTCCCCCTCTGTGTGTGTGTGTGTGTGTGTGTGTACATGCGCGTAGGTATGCACAAGTGGGTGCAGGTACAAGTAGAAGCCAGAGGCGCTGGACCCCGTTATAGCTAGAGTACAGTAGGTACTGAGAACTGAACTCGGGTCCTTTGGAAGAGTGGTATCTGTTCTTGGTCGACAAGCGTCTCTCTAGCCCCTCTGTGTTTTGGCTGTTGTTTTGAGTCCACAGTCCCAGATGGCCTGAAACTCACTACATGGACCAGGCTGGCTTTGAACTCACTGTCTCTGTCCACACCACCACACCAGGCAGCCTGCTGTTTTTATTTTTTTTGTTTAAATGACTGTTATTCATTTCTTTTCTGAGCATCAAACAAAATGGAGAGACATCAATAGTTCAATAAGCACAAGGCACAAGGCTTTCCAACCACAGCAACTGATGTGAGGGGAAAGAAAAAAGAGTTCCTAACTTATAAAAGTCTGCTAACACCAAATTAAATGATATTACCCGGAAAGAGAGGAAACGGTAGATGCGACACGGAAACATTGGTATGCTCTTGCTCTGTGTGTTATGAGTGACGAGGGCTCTGCTGTAAACAGAGACTAGGAGAGGGGGTACTTGGGCCACCTGATAATATAGTGAAGGACCTGGACCAGCTCAATTATTTCATCTTTCTCCTGTGCTCAGGGTTCCCACGGGTCAGCAGTCTACACTGT